TTTATATGGGGTAGAGAGGTAAAGTGTAAAAGACAGATCAAGTCTTTCATGTTTAAGACTCTGAGACTAAGGAATGGCTGAATGCCATGTATTTCTATCAGTAATTCACACAGCCAGACACCAGCAAAGCAGAGTCTTTCTTTAAGGTGACTGGTGCACTGTTTTCTATGATATATCACTAAAAGTATGTACAAAGGGAAAAACAAAACAGGAAGAAAAAGCAGGAAACAAGGCAGAGAGAAGAGGTGGCTTTCCAAGGCTCATGGTGATGACGCAGTAGTTAAGGAGCCTGGGGCTTTTCTGAATCACAACTTCACTTCAAAGATTGGAGATAATTCCTGTCAAGGTTACAGAAGGGTCCAGGGTAGGAAAGAAAGGCGGCTACCATATTACTATTTGTTGGCAAACTGCTTTCATAAACTTAGTAATCTTCAAGATATCCTATTGCACACACGTTATACCTACTTTATCCATCAGAACCAGACTGACTGGTCCTCTGTGCTTCTCTAGGTAGCCCTGGCTGTCCTGGAACTTGCTCTGTAGATCGGCCTGGCCTCCAACTCAGAGATCCGCCTGCCTCTGTCCCAAGTGCTGGGATCAAAGGCCCACCACGGCCCCTCTCGTTTTCTGCACTTTTGTCAGAGCTCACAAGCTCCTTCCCAAACACTTCTATCTGCTTCACCCTCTGGCAATTCAGTGGCTTGTCAGATTCTCGATACTCGATAACGATACATAGGAATTCGTGTGTAAAAAAGCTGAGTAGATAAGTCAAAGTAAAGGCTACTACTTTTTTTTTTTTTTTTTTTAGGCTACTACTTTCAAACGCCTAAAAATTCAGCCTGCTATGCTCATGACATTTGAAAATTCTTTAATTCCATTTATACCTATGTGTACATATGTGTTTATGTGTGTATGTACATATATATGTACACACACACACACACATATATACACACAATACTTATTTGGGTGCTGGTGTGTGTCTCTCAGAGTACATAAAGCAGGTGTGGAGGCCAGAAGGCAGTAGTGTATATATTAATGTGATATGTATATATTAATATACATATGCATATTAATTATTAATACTAATATTAAGATATATATATTAATGTGAGATATATATAATATACATACATTGTGTATATATAAATATATAAATAAAATATACATACTATATATATATATATATATATATATATATATATATATATATATATGGTATGTATTTTCACTCAATTATATTTGAATAAAGCCAATAAACCTAGAAGCTTTCAGACTACCAAGGACTAAGGGCACCGGGTGCATGATAACCAGCTGAGCCTTGTAACTTTTCAGAAGTCAAGGGAACAGACAAAATGGTTTCCTAGCTACAAGCAAGGTAACGATTTGGAGTAAAAACCCTTTAGGGGTGAAGGACACCAAAACCAGGATTTATTTCACATTTTAAACCTGGAATGTTTCATTTTATAAAAAGGAAAGAAAAAAATCTAGCTTCCTTCCCTCCAAACCCACACCTGCTTCCTGGTCTCAGGTCTGAGAACTTCATACAATAGCATCAAACCACAGCTCAGATAAATTAGGCCACCTTTTTTTTTTCTTTGTTACATCACTGAACTGAGAAGTATTTAGAGGAAATACTTGTTGAGTCGGGTGTGGTTGCTCACACCTTTAATCTCAGTTCTAGGGAGGGAGAGGCAGGCAGATCTTGGTGAGTTCTGGGCTTGCCTGTTTCTTTACTTAGAGCTCCAGCTAGCCAGAGTTATATAGTGAGACTGTCTCCAAAGACAAAGGAAGTATGTTACATTTAATCTGTAAGTTGAAGACAGTTCATGTATATTAAATTTTCATTTGGGAAAAAGAGGAAGAATACTTAGAGACCGCCTGAAAACACTTGAATGTTGGGGAGAGTACACGGACGAAGGCATGTGAGGAACCAACTGTGTGCGAGCCAACTGTGGTTGGTGACTGCTCTACAGACATCACATTTACAAACACAGCCCAGGCGTATCTTCAAGTCAAAGGGTGGAACACATACCAAAACTAAACCCTAATCCGGGCTCCTGCTTGAGCGATACCTTCGTGTGTTGTGCTCGACACTCAAAATGAGAAACACTTCTCAGGACCTGGAAAAAATATAATAATAGATACAATAAGTAAATCTGATAACTTAAATATCAACCAAACACTAGCAAGAACACTGGCTAGGCTGCTGAGGTGACCTGAATCTGAGCTCTGGAACCCATGTAGTAGGAAGAGAGAACTCACTCCCACCACCACCTTCTGGCCTCCACGCAGGCTTTATGTACTCTGAGAGTACCACACAGACACACCCGCACACAAATAAGTATTGTTACACTGACCGTCCAAAGCGAGTACAGCATCTATATGGCTATGTTTTTATTCAAGAGTTATGTTTTTAAAATCAGTACTAAATAAACTATAATTCAAATACCGATTACAAGCCAGATGGATGCCTATCCATAAAGGAAATATTAAATTTTATATTTTATTCTCATTTTTATGTCTACATGTATGTGTGGAATGTCCAAAATGGACAGCAGAGGGCACAGGATTTCCTGGAGCTGGAGTTACATACAGTTCTGAGCCACCTAACATCGATGTTGGGAAACAAACTTGAGCAGTAAATATTAAATGACAAAAAAAAAAAAATCCATAAGTTGCTCAGTCAGTCTCAGCCCCCCCCCCCCGTGAGTGTGTGTGTGTGTGTGTGTGTGTGTCCAAGTGCAGTTTTTGGTCCTACTGTTTGTTTTGTTTTTGAGACAGGTCTCGGAATGTAGCTGCGGCTGACTTGGAAACTCACTTTGTAGACCAGGCTAGCCTTGAACTCCCAGAGAGCAACCTAACTCCACCTCATAAGTGCAGGGTTAAAGGCAGGTGTCACCACTCCAGACCCTAATAATGGTTTGTGTTTCTGTTAGGACAAGTTCTTTTGAAGTAGTTCAGGATAGCCCCAAGCAGACTGTGGAATCCAGGCTAGACTTGGGAATCTCAGTTCTTCAGCCTCTACTTCAGATGCATTTTATACAACTGAAATGGAGAGCCTATTACTGGGCTCCTTATATACCGATACTAATCATTCAATTAGATAGCTTAACACACGGGCCTGCTCACTGTTTGTGCAGAAGGATGAGCAGGTGTGTGTGCTCGTGTGTATGTGTGTTTAAGAGTGTATGTATGTGTATGTGAACACATGTGTCTGTGTATGTGAGTGTGCACATGTGTCTCAGTGCGTAGACAGCTTAGAAACAACAAAAAGACAGGACAGGGTTAAGATGTTAGCGTTGCAACAGAGTTTAAATTTTGCAAACACTCCTCTGGGAACAGTTCCAAATACACAATTTGTATTCACACCTGGAAAATAGGGCTCACTAATCCTAGGGGATAACTGGAGATTATTAAAATAAGACAGCCAGGCTTGAAGGTAGCACCTCTTGAAAGGCAGAGGTAAAGATGTGAGCTCTGGACCAGCCTGGACTATAAAATGAGATTCAATATAAAGAAACAATAAGTACGATGTTCTGAAATTCTAGTCAGAAGAGTACTGCTGTTATTATTCCTGGCTCTCAGCCAAAAACAATGAATTCCAATATGGGAACAATACTAACTTTAGTCTTCAAGCCTGTAACTACAGAACAACTAATTGCTTAGAAATTTGAGAATTGGTTTTATCACCGTGTGGAAAACAGGATAAAGGAATATGCATTTTTCTGATTCTTTATGAGGTTAGGCTTTCCTTCACCTGTCCTTGGAGGCGCCAAGAAACTTTTAGTTCTTTTGTCAGAATGAAATAGTAACATAAAAACCCTTTAGTTTCTGCTTTCAGAGCCTGTTAAGTTATATAGTAGTAGTAGGGGTGGAGCCGTTGTAAATTCTAAAACTACAGCTTTCGGGACCAAAGGCAACTTTAGTCCAGTTTTAAGTGGTATAAAAGGAGGTCTTGTATGAACACATCGCTGATATTTAAGTTAACAAACTAGTGGCTAAAACAGAGCTTAGAGACAAAATTCTGGAGGATACAACAATTAGAAGACAAGCTTCATGAAAGTTCTTCGGTAGATTCTTCTCCCTTTTGCTTTTTTTGTTTGTTTGTTTTGTTTTTTTGTAAGGGTCTCTGTACATCACAAAACCACGCCTACTAACCCTGTTCCCGCGAGCTGCCCACTTCCCTTTCCTGCGGGTAGAATTAGCGGTGTTTTGTGCACACCCAGGATCAACCTGTTTGGATCCTAACGCCTGTTCACACCCGTAGCTACAGAACAACACACTGATGCCTTCCCAGTGGGACTACTGTCAAAGTTTTCTGGAAGTGCTCCCCTCTGCCGCAGCAGGGTTCTGACACCCGGGTTCCCTTCGAGAAGGGCAGGTGATTGGAGAGAAATGTCTGAACCCCTTGACCCACGGTAAAGCAGGTCCACAGGACCATGCCTGCAGAGGTCAGGGGCCGGAGGTCAGAGAGGGAGGGCGGCAGGCAGCGTAGGGGGGACACCTGCAGACTCCTGCCCTCCCCCCCCCGCCCCCCGGCCCGACCTTCCCGATCCCGCCCCGTCACCCGCTCACCCTGAAGCCTCTGCGGAACACCGCTGCCATGATGACTCCTCGCTCTGCTGGCTCCGACCACCACCGGGCAGCAAGCAAAGCGAACCGGGGGCCCGCCCGCAGGGGGCGTGGCTTGGAGGGCGGAGAGGGGCGGGCCTTAGACGCAGAGCAAGGGCGTGCCGGTCAAAGTCTGACCTCGGGAGCGTGGCCTGGGGAGTCCCTTCTCTCAACAACAAAGTCTGGGCTCCCAGACTGACGTCATCTGAGAGACAGGGGATTGACCGGTCCGAGCAGAAGACCTTGGGCGTGGTCATTGCAGACTCAGGGGGTGTGGCTTGAGAGGCGGGATTAGACGAGGGAAAGTCTCCCATCCCGACCTGGGTCAAAAGAGGGAGGGACCTGAGGGCCCACAGCGCCTGCGCCCTGCCCTCGCCTTTGCCAAAGTTTGAACAGCTTGGCTTGGGCAAAGGGCTGTCTGCCTCGTGTCACATGAGCCCTAAGGTCGCGTCCTCTCTGGAGGGCTGCCCGGGAGAGCTGGACCCGAATCCAGGCCAGAGGGCGCAGGCAGGGGTTTCCTGCAATCAGTTGTAACCTTTACTCGGAGAGACAGATCCTTTATGGCTCCAGTGTACACTGGAG